TTTTACTGAACACATAATGGAACCGCAACCTACATTTGATAGTCTGAAAGACACTTGGGCTATGCAAGACAGACATTGCACAAATGTTTCCAATACCTTCCGAATTCAGGGTATCACTCTTAGTCTGAACCATCTACAAGGATATCTTTGAGACCATCCACCAGAGAAACACTGAGCACAGCTCTGCAGTGCCTATTTGCAGAGTTCTCTGCTGTTTTGCTCATAGGTGGAGCATCCCCCAGTGCACTTGTGTCAGGATTTTGTCTACTCCTTCACTGAAGACAGTTATCAACCCACTGAGCCTTTAGGAGTGCATGGAGTGGGATGGGAGGAATACCACCAGACATCAATGTCTTTTAATCAGGCAAATGTTACTCAATGATCAAAAAGGAACTGTTTTCCAATACTTCTCTCTGTCCTCAGTTTTCCCCTCCACCACACCTGTGTGTTTCCAACGCTCCCTTACTGCACTCAATTCATTTGTTTTGGGTAAACCTGGATAATTCAGCTATGGCTTATCGCAGCCTGCAGTATCTTTCCCATTATGACCTTTCCTGAGCATGACTTGGGGCAGAGGAATAGATAATATATTGCCAACAATCACTATAACCTCCAGATTTCAAAGAAACTGTATCACCCTGAATGGTATCTCTTGTACAAGCAGCTGATGAGAGGGCAGGAACAGGATCTGACATGTGGTCAGAAGTACTGGAACTGCTACTACTACTGAGCAGGTCCTGTAAACACTCCATTTGAGACATGGAAGAGACAGCGTGGCTGGGCTTTGTGCAGAAGTCTAGAAGAGCTGTTATCAAAGCATTAGACATCCATAACTACACGGTTGCCAGGACTGTGCCTGGCACACGTAGAGCTGGCACAGGGCAGGTGGTCTCTGATGAAGCTTGTTTCTCCACACAACTTCCCTGACAGCTCACAGCCCCTACAGAATTGTCTCTCAAGGCACAGCAGCTCTCACAGTCAATCCAGAGACTCACACTGCTTTTCCACAGCTCTGCAACCAGTGCCCTAATTCTGCCTGAAACCTCCTAAACACAGTCCCATGCTCAGGACACATACAGGAAAAGAGTACGCACAGTTACTCCTGGGGCCATCTGGACCCCTGATTTTGCAGTTCCCACTGCCAGCCATGGCAGGGAGCAGGCCAGGGGGATGTTCCTGCGTGTTGTTTCCGGGGAGGGGTCCACTGCAGGTTGCAGGCATGCAGACATGTGCAGCACCATTGCCTGCTTTTCCCTGGACTCTTCTCCTGGACTGTTGGTCCGGAGACTAAGGCATGGCTGTTTTCACAAGCAGTGGGCTTGGTGGAGTGCTCTCTTCTCCCCTGCTGATCCGTTCAAGATCTCTGTGCTTAGGGTGCACGCACTGTGCTGCCTCTGAACCATGATTTTCCATCTCATCAAGAACACGCTCTTCATCTGTTTGAAATGAATGCAACACTGCTTGCCAGTCCTCACCCACTCTGGCGCTGGTTTGACATTAGCAACACGATGGTGCATTTGCTGGAGAAACTTTTGGCCTTTCAGAGCACATGCTGTCAAGCTCCAGCTTGCCCCTTGCTCTATATTCTGGGAGGCCAATACACTATTGCACTATTGCAAAATGCAGCAGGCATAAAGGAGAAATAATTTGTATAAGGTTTTAAGAAAGATGCTGTTCATAAAAGAACAGCAAAAGACATAGGGCTAGTGAAGAAAGCTTCCAGGAAATAAAGAAGCAGCTGAAAATCAGAACAAGCAGAAATCTGGCAGCCAGTAGCAAATATGAAGTCACACATAGTATTTGTCCGTTTTGCATAGCAGGAGAAGTACTTCAGAGTAAGGTGGGAACTCATGAGAGTTTTAAAGCTTTCTGTTGGCACACGTATTTTTCTTTTGTTCTGGAAATACTCTTTGTTTGAGAATGCCCAGGGAAGTTGTGGAGTCTCCTCTGGGGACTTTCAAAATTTCAAAACCCACTTGGATAAAATCATAGAATGCCTCCAGAGATGGGAGTCTCCACTACCTCTCTGGGCAACCCGTTACAGTGTTTCACCACCCTCACAGTAAAGAACTTATTCCTAACAGATAATCTAAACCTATCTTGCCCTAGTTTAAAACCATTGCCCCTCATCCTGTCACTACATGCCCTTGCAAACAGTTCCTCTCCAGCTTTCCTGTAGGCCCCCTTCAGGTGCTGGAAGTACAGTGTAAGGTCTCCCAGGAGCTTTCTCTTCTCCAGGCTGAACAGCCCAACTCCCTCAGCCTGTCAATCCTGTGTAATGTGTACTAGGCAATCCTGCTCTAGTGGGGGGATTGGACTAGATGATCTCTAGAGTTCCCTACAATGATTCTGTGTGTCCTGGTTTGCGCCACACAGAACCAATTCCCTTCAGTGATTTTTGCTTCTCAGTTCAGTCTCTTCTAAGAGGCTGCACTTTCTGAAGTTAGCAGCATGTTTTTGCAGACAGTGTGTGCTACTGGCAGTGATAACATCTGATGTTTGCAGTTACTGCCTAGGACTGGGATGCAGAAAGGCTCTTGCTGATACTTATTCCTGTAGTGACCAAGGCCACTGCTGGCTCTTGTGTGCCATGCTGGGGGTGCCGGGGAGTAATAGGTATCACAAAGAAGTAAAAGGTTGCACCTCCAGTGAGTTACAGACAGGGCAAGTGACCAACAAGAGTATTCCATTCCATATATGTTATATTCAGTATAGAACTGAAGGATCACAAGGGTTTAGGTCTCTTTTGCCTTTTCCCCAGCGGCCAGCATCCAGGAAGGACTCTGTCCGATTTTCTGCCTTTGATCCCAATCCTGAGATCCTGAATCCAGCTCCCATATCCAGCTCCCTGCTGCTGCTGAGCCTGGCACTCTCCCAGCACCACGTGCTCTGCAGCATCAGTGGTGATTGCTACTGGTGGCTGGGGGCAGGAAGTTGGGTTTGATACTGGTTTGGTATATATGTACATAGTTCCGTATTTTTATTATTTCCTTATTCATTAAAGCTGTTTTACTTTTTTTCCAATCCATAAATCTCTCTGCCTCATTACCTTTTCCTTCCCGTTTGGGGAGGGAGAGGGGGCTAGAGAGTGTCTGTCAGCGTTTAGTGGCCAGCCCAGCCCTAACACATGACAGTACAGTCCCACTCATTGGATCCTACCCTTTTATCCCAGGAGACAAAGCTTCCATTTTGGTTTTCTCTGTAAAGATTTCATTCACACCTCTAAAACGACTCTACAAACACAATCAATAAGCAAAGACAGTCGGAGGATTTACTGCAGAACTGCACTATAGACACAGCCCTAATGACCACTGCTTTTCTGGAACTGAGGATTCTTGACTGGCTTCAAGAGGCATCTTCTCCTTGTAAGAATCTCACTCAGATATTTATACATGAGAGCGATCTTAGAGCAGTAAAGCCTACTTCTAACTTCCAAAACCGGATACAGCAAGCTATAGTCAGTCCTGTAGTGTCTGATGCAGTGGCATCCAAACAATTTTGGAGGATACCTCTCTTCACTGTTAACTGTTCACGCTTCTTCAGACGCCCAGGACTGAGAACCACATTCACTCAAAATTCAGGCACAATACCAGCACCAGCTACCCACCAACAGCATGCAAATTCATAATAGTGAAACACATCTCAACCAATACCACCTTAACCGGTTGTGCAAACACCAAAGGATTATTCTGATAACCCTTATTCCTGAAAACAATAGTAATCCACTTCTGTTCTAGTACGGTCATCTTCAGCTGTACAGTGTGATAGCAGGAAGATGAAGTAAGTTTAATTGTAACATCCATTTCCTTACGCAGAACTTCTGCACCCATGATGGTCTGTAAAACAGTTTGTTTCCACCACATCACGCTGAGCCTCTGCTCCAGAAGCACTGGGTACAGATGGTGCTCTGACAACTTCTATATTCACGGCATCATCAAAGCTCATTTCATGCGCTTTTTCGTGTCCTCAGTACACAGTACATTCACTATACTCTCACAATTCCTGTATGCTCTGAGTTACCATTGGATTTCCCTTAATCATTCAGATTTCTAATTACCATTACAGATCAACAGAGGTGATTAGCATGCCATGATGGCAGCGCTAGAACTTCTGCCTCTAGGAGCATTGTAAAAGAACAATTGCTAGGTGGTGTTATGCTGCACACTGTCAGAGAAGTTGGGATATATCCAGAACTCCTAACATCAGCTGAATTCAGACAACCAAGTCTCAGTATGCTGAAGAACGAACAATGTCAGTGCTTTTACATAAAATGTCCTTCATCACCACTGGGGGAAGCTGTATTCAGTCCCTGAAGAATAAATAAGATGGTTCAAGCAACACTGTATCTTCTTGCCTGGCAAATGGAGAATCAACAGTATCTTCTGAAAAAATAACAACATAAGGCAGCAGAACTGCATTTTTGAGCACCAAAGCTGGAATGCAGAAGGCCATTCTAATTGCACTAGTGTCCTCTCTACCCCACTGAGTTTCATCTACAAGGAAAAGGACCAAGCCCTGAATGTCAGCTGAGTCTTGGCTTCAGGGGCCTTGAGTGGCAGAGGGAAGAAAAAAGAGACACGTCTCCCTAAAAGTTCTGGTTCCAACCACAGAGCTCCCAAGTGTTTCCAACTTAGCTTCAGTAAGATTTGTCATCACCAGACATGCAAAACACAACAACCTCTCCTAGATCTGCAGTATGGGTAGTTTGATGCCCTGTGGCTGAAGCCTCAGCAACACAGGTTCACAGGTGCCATTTCAAGGTCTGTTGTTTTGGAGTTCCTTGCCCCACTGACCATTACCAGCCACAAGTAGACAAGTTTGAAGGACAGTGAAGTAAAGTTTTCCTTAAGAATTACTGTAATAGATGGGATAGTATAAACACTGAAGATATTTTCGCAATTTAAACATACGTGGCATGCAGAAAAGACAGAGATAAACGGAATAATCCGCTGGAGGAGAAGCCCCTTTTTTAAAGTGTTGTTCTTTAGAATGGATCATACCTCATACAAAACTGTAGTATTCCCATGAAGGAGAGGCCCATAGCAAATGTAGGAATGACCAACAACCCAGCCTAAATCAGAAGCTGCCCACCACACCTAAAATGAAATAAAAACATAAATCTGATGAGGAGTTTTCAAGAGGACACTTCAAAAACATTTGTATGGCAATTAATCAGAATTACCTCACCAGGTTCGAGCCCATAGACAGCTGACATTGTCCAGTTCAGCATAACTGCATAGCCACCTGTTGGTCTGATGACACCCTAAGGGAGAAAATTTGAATATTTAAGATCATTTGAAGGATGCAACGATACTCCTGTCTTCAGTGACGTTTTGGGGGTTTAGCAGCAATAGACTTAAACAATTCCAACACTCTTCACTTAAAGAGAAGGATCCATTGCAACAAGCACATGCTTGTGCTAGCACTCCCACTGAAGAAGCAATTTCAGAATACAAACAAGTAAACACACAACAAAACAAACTTTAAAACAAACTTAAAATCCCATCCCATGGTATATTCTCTTTATGTAGTTACTAGAATGAAATAGGTATTTTCAGGCCTCGTCCAAGCAAGAAGAAACTGTGGAGACATACTCACTTATTAAAATGGATATTGCCACAGCAGAGAATGGTTAAGTAACGTGTCATGAATTTCAGAAAGCAGACTGTCTTTGTTAAGTCTCAGCCTCTAATTTAACAACGGGTTTGTTATGAAGGTCATAACTGAGTAATTCTACTTGCATGAATATTCAAAAGCAAGTTCCTTAAATGAATAAAAAACCTACTTTATTCATTAAGCTACACACAGTAGCTTAGTGCTAGTTGACAGTCTCCCTTCATTCAAGGTGTCTATATATTTCCCTGGAGAGTCAACACAGTGAAACTACTGAGAACTTTTATCTCTAAGATACTGTGTTTTAAAACTAACAGTCAGGGAAAACACCCACTATAACAAAGGATCTTATCATGGACTTTTTGACAATACAATTCAAGATACACATGTTGCTTCAAAGTGCCCACATTCAAGGTAAAAGCAGAAGATTTTCTGCTCAGGAAAACTGATATTCGTTTTCCATTACCTCCCCACAGATTCTGAACTTTTTAGGCCATATCACTAAATAACTTTCTAGTAGTAGCCTTGAGCACTGCTCTACCCAGGGATGTCTGATACTGTCTCTGAATCTGTGGTGTTCAGACCGCCGTCAGAAAATTATATTGAGTTTGCCTTCTACACTTTAAAAGAGAATTTTAAATACCAAGGAAACAATAAAAGATCTTTCAAAAATAGATCACTAAGACTAATTGACATTTAAAAGAAAAAACTTTCAAAGAATACCCTATGTTAGTTTTCACTTAATTGAAACTTCCATTTTCATTGGAATTATGCTCTCAGAACTGTTCAGTAAAACAGAATGTTCTGCCCTCAGAACATTTAATTCCATATAATCTGTAATGTCAATCACTATATCTTATCTACGGGAAGATTAGCTAGTATGTAAATAATGAATAAGCAAAGACTACAGTCCTTGTTACAGCTAGGATAGACCTAATTTTTCTTCTTAGGAGCTGCCAGCTGGGTTTAAACCACAACAACTATTCAGCAATAAATGCTATCACAGAAGTGATATATTAACTAATCTTTCCATTAAGTGACTATATGACACTTATCTAAACCAGTTCAAACTCAGAAGATAAAAAAGGATAGAAGACATTCCATTGTCCTCAAAAGTTTATACTGTACAAACATTCTGGAGCAAATGCAGTTTGTCTTTATATTACTACTATTTAAATAAACAAGTATGATTTATTCCTAGACACTGGCTTTAAACTAGTGAAATGTGAATAAATTAGATTAAACTATTTCTAGAAATGCTTATCATTTATAGCATTGAGCTCTCACAAATATTTTCAGCTTTTTTAATTAAATATTTTTGCAAGTGGAACTGCAAATAAGTTGGTCACAGACATTTAGACTACAGATGGGCCTTTACCTTGGGTAAACCTGTTGTTCCAGATGTATAAAGAATATAAAGTGGATGGTCTGAGGGAACTGAGACACATTCACAACCTTGTGCTTTTGTAAGCTCTTCTTCCCAGTCAAGATCACGACCTGGGACAAGCGGAACATGGCCCTGCTCATTGGAAAACAGAAAACTGCTGAAAGAAAATCAGATTGAATATACGGAATCAAGTCAAAAAGCATGTACTAGCCTATTTTTGGTACAGTAATATTAAATTTTCTGGACAGTAATCTCTCTACTGTATTAGTTCTATTTACTATTTATGAATAGAAAGTTTTCCCACAAAATTCACAAAAAAACTACAACAGATACAGTAAAAATTTTACTCATAAAAGAGAAAAGGCACATGCACTACATACACATCTAAAAGCTAACATAAAGGCACAACAACTGTACACCCACCAAATTAGGTCGCTTGTAAATGAGAACCTTATCAGGTTTGCTCTGTACCCTTGCCAGTGCTCCTTCAAGAAGGGATATGTACTCCACTTTCCTTTTTGGCTCTACTCCAAAACTTGCTGTTACAATAAGTTTGGGCTAAAATAAAAAAGATGGTTAATAGATACATTTGCAATATATTTCATCTATGTAACCTAATAACATGTTTTCTATGAAATTCTTTGCTTAATGATGCTCAAATGCATAAAATGAATCTTCACATAATTAGAAATTAGAGGGGTTGGTCAGTTTTCTAAGGAAAACAAGCTTGTGTGATCTTGCTGTCCACGCATCTGTATTTTGTTCAGGAGCACACTAATAACTTCCAACACTCTTCATCATTTTCAACCAAATTCTAGTAAGATATCAACAGTATTAAGTTCTTGTAAGTTGCACAAAAATTATCATGGAGAAAAAAACTTCTCTATCTTAGCCCCCCCATTAAGGGAAAGTGGTACAGTGATGTTGACAATTACCTGTCCTGTTTAGTCCGATTTCTAACTATGTGCCTGCACCCAATGGCATATTTCAAAACCGGCTGCAACACTTTGCTGGCTCTTTTCCAGCCTGCAATTAAATGGCACAAGAAGGAAAATAGGAGAAAGAGAAAAAATAAGGCAAATGAGAGATGACAGAAAACTAGAAATACAGGAAGAGAATAAGCTAAAGATGTAAGGCACATGAGCGGAGTAAAAATGGAGTCTTCCAAGTGATGGTTGCAGGATTCATGATGCAGAACCACTAAAAAATAGATTACTATAGTTTGGGGATTTTTTCAGAATAATTTCTATTTCCAAATGTGCATTGAGCATCTCAATGAATAAATCAACCTCAGGTTTTACATAAGATTTCCTAAGTCAAGAAGTCTGCATACAAACTATTTTGACTTAGGTCCTGAAATCAGTACTTTCATTTCTTGTATTTCAGGGAATGAAAGGTAGCACCAAAGAAACAATGTGTTAGAACACAATTTAACTGGAGAAGAGTTAAGTCTTCAATCTCCATGCTTTTGGAATTTTAGGAGTATTTATCTTATGCCCCTCACTTTGATCAAGCTAGTTTACTAATTGTGTGCATTAGCATAAATCTCATTAAGTAGGCACAAACCACAATGCCACAGTTAAAGCTGCATTAAACTCAGCACAGTAAGCACAGATTAAACTGGTTTTTGTGCAATAATAAAATGTTTCCTGACCAAATCTGCCATTCAGGAAAGTTTGCTAATTAGCATATATTAAAAATAAAGACTTCAGATGAGCTTCAAAATTTCAGCATTCATCCTCTTTTTCTTTTCAGATGCACTGATTTTAAGAAAAGGTAACACAACACAATGCAGTTCAACTGGAAATTCATCTGGAGGCAATCCTGAAATCACACTGTAATTAATGTAAGATATTAACACAGTTCTATTCAATTGCTAAGATGAAAGACTGTTGTCAACACCAGGTTTACAGTCATTTGTAAATGATGCCACCTCTGCTCATCAACTGCTTTGTATGCAGCAAGGAAGTCTAAAAATAAACAATACTAAATTGGCTAAGGTGATTTATTTCCCCAGTGAGGGTTGCTACTTGGAAGCATCATGGATCACTCCGCGCAAATCAAACATCCATTAATGGCTTTAACTGCTGTTTTCCAGTGCTTTGCCTTTGCTACTGCCATTACTTCCCCTGTATCTCTGCTCCCATATTGCTTTTATACATCCATTTCCCACCTCCTCTGTGGCTCCATGTAGTCCTGCATGGTAAGATTAGATAGAAATATAACTAGTTTGAAGGAAAACCAGGAAACTTCAAAGGTTTGCTGGAAAAGGAATGCCAGTGATCGTGAACTGCAGAAAAAAAAAAACCTATGAAGAAGTAGAAATGAGATCAAGCAAGGCTTGACTAACAATTTTGTTTTGTTGTAAAGACTCATCTTACAAATTCTTCTACATTCTCTAATAGCATACAAGGCAAAGTTTAGAAAAAGCAATAAATACATTTCATTGGGTCAGCTAATAAAGCTGAAAAAACCTCGACATGAAAACCAACTCCTTTGGGGCACAAAACGTCAGGAGTGTCAGGAAGATGCGTACTGAGAGATCCACCACTTGGGCTGATTCAACACACAAAGCTCTTTCCTCTTCATGTCCCGGCCACACACCTGATCACAAGCTTAGGCTCAAACTCACCAGGCTTTTGCTGTGCCTCACTCCTCCTTAAAAGAAGTGACACGCATTTTAAAGAAATACAGTGCTTATGCAGTCATTATATAGCTCTGCTGCACCTACTGGTACCGCGCTGGATTTGTGCTTAGCTGATCCATGCCAGGCTGCCACACGCATTAAGTTCTGCCAGATATCATACAGTGCCCTAAAGACAGACACTTGAATCGTATCACGTGAGTATTTAAAAGTAAAACACAAGATAGTGCCTTCTAATCAAAAAAAAACCATATTCCAGAAACACACACTGCTTCAAGACAAGAAAAGACTGGACTGCAATTACAATGAGGGCAACTGTGCATCTTCAGTATCAGCAGCTGAGCTGGCTGCCTCATCACTCAAAAGATTTGATCGTCTTACAATGAGAAGTAGGGGTAACCATTCACAGCCATACCTGTGTGTCTGATTCAAAATAAACTGCTACAAGATACGAGCTCATTTTTCCAAGGAGGTCTTACTAAAATTTCCAAATGTGTCAACTGTAAATAAAAGAGGAATGCAGTATTTCCGACCTCCACGAAAGACAGTAACAGTTCTGAGTAACTTGGCTGTCTCATGCATTTTGTATTTCAAAGAACCGTTCATTTCCAAATCATAATACTGCTTTAGCGAGGCACCTTCAAAAAACATGTCTGAAAAGTTTCATTACTTGTACTTTATTCTTCAGGTTTTGGACTTGAAATCTAAAGAGTCCTCTAGAACTGCTGTATCATTGTAGAGATTCAAAAAAACATGAGAAAACTTGATCACTGAAGACATAGCAACTACCCTATTAAATAGGCGTATAAGCATATTGTTCTTAAGTAGCCTTCTCCATTTTCCTACCTCACTAAGATAAAGCACTTAAATAGCTATCATGTTAATTTCTCAAAATATAGTTAATGTCCTTTTCCATATGCTGGAAAAGCAATGCAGCAAGCTGCAGGCAACCCAGGAGACTCCTAGAATGCATGGAGGATAACTTCCTCAGCCAGGTAATAGAGTCCTGCCAGAGGGAATGCAATACCGGACCTGATGGTCACCAGCGCAAGTGAGCTCAGCAGTGGAGACAGCCTGGGCTGCAGGGACCACGTGCTGGTGAAGTACCCAGTCCTGAGGGCTATGGGTCAGGCAAAGTCGAGACCTCGGATTTTAGAAAAGCAAAATTCCAGCTGTTCAAGGAGTTGGTCAAGAGGGCCCCCTGGGAAACTGCCCTCAGGGACAAGGGAACACAACAGAGCTTGCAGATCTATGCAAGGACAAGTATCCTGGGAAGAGCATAGGGATACCATCCAGTTGTGATAAACAAGACCAGCAAGCAGACCACAAGACAGGGACTTGAGGAGCAAAGTTCCTGCCACTGTAAGAGAAGTTAAGGTTCGTGACCACCTGAGGAATTTGATCATACACAAGTCCATAGGACCTGATGAGATGCATCCCCCAGTCCTGAGGGAATTGGCTGATGTAGTTGCCAAGCCACTCTCCATGGTATTCGAAAAGTCATGGCAGTCAGGTGAGGTCCCTGGGGACTGGAAGAAGGGAAACATTCCACCCCATTTTTAGAAAGGGTAGAAAGGAGGACCCTATGAACCACTGACCTGTCAGCCTCACCTCTGTGCCTGGGAAGATCACAAAATAGATCCTCCTAGAAGTAACGTTAAGGCACACAGAGGACAGGCAGGTTATTCAAGACAGCCAGCATGGCTTCACGAAGGGCAAGTCCTGCCTGTCCAACCTAGTTGCCTTCTATGATGGAGTGACTATATCAGCAGACAAGGGAAGAGCTAAGGATGTTTTTCTGGACTTCTGTAAGGCCTTTGGAACAGTCCCCCACAACATCCTTATCTCCAGATGGGAGAGATATGGATTACATGGGTGGACTGTTTGTTGGGTGAGGAATTGGTTGGATGGTTGCATCCGGAGGGTCACTGGCTTAATGTCCAGATGGAGATGAGTGACAAGTGGTGTCTCTCAGGGGTCTTTACTGGGACTAGTGCTGGTTAATATCTTCAGTAATGACATAGTGGGATCAATGGCACCCTCAACAAGTTTATAGACACCAGCAAGGTAAGTGGTGTGGTTCATATGCCAGAGGGATGGGATGTCATTCAGAGGGACCTGGACAAGCTGGTGAACTGGGCCCATGAGAACACCATGAGGTTCAACAAGGTCAGGTGCAAGGTCCTGCACCCAGGTTGGGGCAACCCCTGGTATCAATACAGGCTGTGGGGGACAAAGGGACTGAGAGTGGCACTGAAGAGAAGGGCTTAGGGTATTGGTGGATGTAAAGCTGGACATGAGCCAGCCACGTGCGCTCACAGCCCAGAAGGCCAATCACATTCCAAGCTGCATCAAAACAAGTGTGATCAGCAGGTCCAGAGAGGTGATTCTAACCCCTCTACTCTGCTCTCATGAGACCCCACCAGCAGTACTGTATCCAGCTCTGGAGCCCCCAGCACAAGACATGGACCTGCTTGACCAGGTCCAGAGGAAGGCCACAAAAATAAGCAGGGGCCTGAAGCACACCTCCTTTGAGGACAGGCTAAGAGAGTTGGGGTTATTCAGCCTCAAGAAAACTCTGGAGAGATCTTACTGCAGCCTTTCAGTACTTAAAAGGGGCCTATAAGAAAGATGAGGACAATCTCTATAGCAGGGCCTTTTGCAATAGGACAAGGGGCAACAGTTTTAAACTAAGAGGGTAGATTTAGACTAGATGTAAGGAAGAAATGGTGATACACTGGAACAGGTTGCCCAGAGAGGTGGTAGAAGCTCCATCCCTGGAAACATTCAAGATTAGGTTGTATGCGGCTCTGAGTAACCTGATCTAGTTGAAAATGTCCCTGCTCACTGCAGGGGCATTGGACCAGATGACCTTTAAAGGTCCCTAACTATTCTGTGCAAGTATCTATTGTTTTGATACTGCAAACTAGATACTCCCAAATTCAGGTGAAAGGAAAGATGACAAGAAAAGCCTGTTCTCACACTCTGTATCATAGAATCATACAATGTGTTGGGTTGGAAGGGACTTCATCACAATTCACCGCAGAACATCTGTAACTGCCAATACCTGACAAAAGTAAAAATTATCATCTGCAGGACTTCGCAGCATTCCCAGACCTACTTAAAATTCAATATATATTAAGGTAAGCTGGTAAAGTATATGTACCTTTCCATAGTCACTAGAAAGTGCCTATTTCTTTCACTTAAATCATCCAATAAAAGGTGAAGTTTGACCTTTTTTCCCCAAGAGCATCTCACAGCCAGCCTTCCACTACATATCTTTAACTCTTTCTAAGTAATCTTACCAATATTAGATACTGTATTGTGACATCTAAACCAATTCATATAAAAAAGTAATAGAAAGGTTATTTTTTATGAGACTGGTTCAATTAACTTATCAGTTCAGCAGAATATCATCTATCACAGTTACTTACATACGTATTTTAGAGATAATCTCTGTAGTGTGCAATTCACTTATCAAGAAACCTTTACCATATTGCAAAACTGGGGCATGTTTTGAAATTTAGATCAAGGGTGTGTTTCTCCTCTTTCATTACACAAGATAGATGGAAAATCATCCACAATATCTGAATCTCCCTTTTAAAGAAACAAAAAGGCAATGTAAATCAGGATTTAATCCATGGCCTGCAGCTAGTAATTCTATAGCTAACCATTCAAAAGACTTGCTTTGTGACCTTGGCTAAATCACTTATATTTCTCTGGTTTTAATGCATCAAGTGAAGATTATGATTACTGTGCTGTCTCCCTTTGTTCCTCAGAGAAAATCCATTGGGATTAATTAGTTAATATTTGCAAAATACTATAAAAGTAAACAGGCTAGATGATTTGCATTGTAGCCACCTTCATTTTAAAATGTTCATCATTTTTTCTTCTACATTATTTTTCCCTAATTCTGTGAGTTAAAACTAATTTTTATAGCTTGTTAAAAAAGTGGGGGAATGGGAAGAAAGACGGGGAAAACTACAAAGCTTTTGTTAGGCTTCGCCCAGGGTTTTTTCACAACTGCAACAAGTCCTTGCAAGCCATTTTATTAACTACTTCTTTGTTAAAACATCAAGGTGGAGAAGGGGGATACATTCAAGACAGTGATCTGAAAAGCACTTCTGTACACAAAAATCTAAGTAAAAATTCCACAAATCCTCTAGGCTTTACCCTGCATAATGGTTTGGTTTATACATATAACCAACATGATCCAGTGGCAGACTGCTACCACGAATTGTCTGAATGATCCAGGTGACTGATCAAGATGGCAAAGACTTTTGTGATGTTCACTGGCAGAACACAAGAACATCAACTTCCAGGACAAACATTGTTAGCTGGTTTGAAACTAATGCATATGTGCTACAATAGGTATATATAAGACACTAAGTAGATTACTAAAGTACTGTTTGCATTTTTGCTTACAAAGACTTACACAATGCTGCATAAACAAACTCAACTTGTGCCAAACTTGGAAGCCTTTAAAGCATTCACCCCCATTAATTACATTCTCTGCAGAGTCACTTACTTAAGGCAATTGGTTCCCCAGTTTTCTTGCTTCATGTAGAAACTATATAAAGTAGATTTATAGCTGAAAAATATGTACTACCAAATATGTCTAAACACCAAGTAAACCAACAAGTCATTTAGGGTTGGCAGCATTTTCCTAGTACATTTGAGGAAAATGCTGGGCAAAAAGCCAATTTTAAGGTGATGATCCATAGAAAGAGACTAACAAATGGGAGAAGAAAGTACGCTCTAGACAGCAGCATGTTAAACTCATGCTTTTTAAAAGAGATCAATGTTTGTATCTCAGTGTTTGCTATGGAAGTATCAACCTCAGCACAGATGTAGTACTTTGTTTATATGACAGTGTTAGGTATTATGAAGTGCAAGCCACACAGAGAGAAATACTGTTATCCCTCTCTGGGGGGAAAAAACCCAAACCCCACAGTTTTTGGACATTGACTTGTATGAATAAGTAATGCAATAGTGTTCGCTGTTCCAAATAGGTATTACCTTGGCATGATCAATGCGAACAGAAAGCTCCTTAGATGCAAATCCACCGAAAATGAGGCTATGGATGGCTCCTATTCTTGCACAAGCCAGCATACAGTACACTGTCTGTGGAATCATGGGCATGTAGATGACCACACGATCTCCTTTCTTCACGCCATGTCTGATCATCACATCAGCTAACTTGGAGACCTGTACTGACAAAACATTCACAACATATTAAAAGTTCCTCCAGATCTGCTGTTGCCCCATAAAAACAATAAATTTCACACAATCAGCAGACACGGCATATTAAGGAAACAAGTCAGCATGATAAAGGAAGATGATGAACAACACAATCCAGGTTCAATAAATTTATTTTTTGCAAAAAAACACTGTAATATATTTTTATACTGTAAAATCAGAATGGACCAAAGCTAATTATATGTTAGAGCAAAAAAAAAGTAGATCAGTAGCAATGTGTTGCAAAATTTTAAATGACAATGTAACCACTCGTTTTATCCAGATAACTGCTTATATTTCTTAATTTTAAGAATGGATGTAAACAGGGAATTTCATAATGCAAATTCTATCCTAACAGTATCTAAGTTTGAAACACAAATCAAGATGCAGAAACATTTTCTCTACCACAAAAATGTAAACTTCTCAGAATCTGAGTCAAGAAACCTTATATCCTGAACCAAATGTAAATACAAATTCAAAGAAATACATTTAGACTTAAGATGTCATTTTTCCTCTCATTTTCAGATTTTCATTTTTGGTATGCAGAAGCCTGAAGACAGGCTATGCAGGGCAGTAAAGGTCTGGAACTGAAAAAATATGATAGATCATCAGCAATGCCAGTCATCTGTATCACCATAAGGAAATATCTACTACCTTGACAGTCTATAGTATTCTGTCACAAAACTAGTACTGAATAAAAATTCAACACCAGAATGGACAATTTACTACACAGTAAATTCTGTTAGAGCGAGAATGGGAGCCTGTGACAAGCCCTGTGCACTTGTCCCGACCTGCTTGTTGCAGCATGGAAATGTGGCACCTTGTGAAGGAAAAGCAAATTACTAATTCCCTGAGAGGAACTGAATGAACTCAGCTGTCAAAGGTTTCTCAAGTTCCAGAGCCTGACAGCTCTAAAATACTCAGTATCTAAAACTGTTCACTGCCTTTCAATTTTTTCAATTCAACATCACTGCACAGAGCTGTATTAATACAGAGGAAAAAACACATGTAACTGCACAAAACAGAGGCTAACAGGTTTATAGGAAGATCTGTAGCTAAGAAGAAACAAACTAGACTAATAAGTAATATAAAACAGGATGGATGTAAAAACATCCGAGGAAGTTGTAAGGTAGAACATTCCATAAGCATGGTTACACACCAGTCAGATGCAACACGAACAGAAGTCAGTCACTATAACACCCATCTGTAAGAAGGGACGGAAAGATGATCCAGGAAATTACAGACCTGCCAGTTTGACTTCAGTGCCAGGGAAGCTGATGGAACAGATCATCCTCAGTTCCATTATGCAGCACATGCAGGACAACCAGATGATCAGGCTCAGTCAGCATGGGTTTGTGAAGGGCAGGTCCTGTTTAAAAAACCTGATCTCCTTCTGTGACTGGGTGACCTTGTTGGATGAAGGAAAGGCTGTGGATGTCATCTACCTTGACTTTAGTAAGTCATTTGACACTGTTCCCCACAGCATTCTCCTAGAGAAATTGACTGCTCTGGGCTTGGAGGTGCATACGCTTTGCTGGGTGAAAAACTGGCTGGATGGTCGAGTCCAAAGAGTTGTGGTCAATGGAGGTAAATCCAGTTGGTGGCCGGTCATGAGTGGTGTCCCCCAGGGCTCAGTGCTGGGCCCAGTCTTGTTTAACATTTTCCTCAATGATTTGGACGAGGGGACAAAGTGCACCCTTAGTAAGTTTGCAGATGACACCAAGCTGGGTGGAAGCGTTGATCTGGTTGAGGGCAGAAAGGCTCTACAGAGGGATCCAGATTGGCCTTGGCCCAGTGATCCAGCCTATCAGATGAGTTTCAGTAAGGCCAAATGCTGAGTTCTACACTTCAGCCACAACAACCCCCAGCAGTGTTACAGGCTTGGGGGGGGGGGGCTGGGGGGGGGGCGG